ATTCTGGATGCCACATTTCAGGAAATAAATTGACAAACCAGTGTCTGTCCGGAGGAGGGAAACTAGTATAGAAAGGGAAGTCATGCTGTACAGTTATCCCTTCCCATGTCATGGGGGTTAGGGATGTGGCATCCCCACAATCTGGAAAATCCATGTAAAATTATTTGGCCCTCCCTTCATACCAAAGAAGTCTGAATTATTATGGTATTAAAAGACAAAATATGTTGATATTATACAATACTATACACATATTTTATGCATTTCTGAGTTTCTAAACCTCTTCTGTGTCATCTGCTGGCCTTTGCATGTTGTCTGTGGCTTCTGCAATACTCTCAAAAAATTCCCGTTTGGTTTCTTATGTCGACCCACAACGTATCAAAGCCACGATGGGGAAAGTTGTAATGTGGAAGGGATAACTGTACAAGGGCCAGGCTAACTGAGGAAGTCTCGGTTGAAGAAGAAAAGACTTAGAGGGAAATGATAGCTGGTTTAAAATACCTGACGGGCTGCCATGTGGGAGACAAGATAGCTGTGTTCTGCTGCATCTCAAAAGGGCAGAACTAGGAACAGTTAGAGAAAGTTGTGGAGCAGATTTCAGGCTGGATGCAAGGAGGAAAACCTTTTAAAAGCAATGGCTGTCAAAAAGTGAAATGGGCTGTCCTAAGTAGTATTTTCCATCAGCAGAGGTCTTCAAATGGAAATTGGGTTGCTGTTTGCTGGGGATGTTGAGAAGGCAACTCTTGTTTAATTATATAAACATGACTAGGTGTTCTCCAAGGTCCCTGCCAACTCTGAGATTCTGTGATTCTATCATCTACTCTTCCTGCTCTGGTGGGAATGAAGGAGATAGCTGCTCACCACATAGGATACCCCAAGGCGCATACCACAACTTTACCCGCAGCTACCATCAAGGGGCCCCTTCACATGCGTCACTAGACCAAAAGTCATCTGGACAAAACTGCTCCTCTGCCCTTAACTCATGAGCTCCTCCCCACAACCTTCCAGAGAAAGAAATGCTCTGGACTCTCCATGTCCTATCCTGAGGTTGTGAATGTGAAATTCGGAGTCCATTTCTCCCCGGCAGAGTAGACGTGGGACTCTACCTGGAGAGCCTTACCTCAGTGATAACAAGGATGCCTACCAAATGATCCCGCTCATATGGACTCTTCATGCTGTGCATGGCATGAATTAAAATGCTCTTGATCTCACACTTGTAGTGAGTGATGGCCCTAGGGGGAGAGAAATAAACAGGGAAAAACTCTTAATCTCTAGTGACGGACTAGTCCATTTGAGGATAGGGTATAGAGAACCAGAGTCACAATTAGGAAGGAAAGTTCAATAGGTCAGCCAACTAGCATTTACTGTCTATTATGTGCCAGGAACTGTGCTAAGTGCTGCCACATATGATTTATCAATAGGTTAAGGAAGCAGCCATCTATGGAATGCAATTTAATGGACACATTCTCCCAAATGCCTCCCTCATTACTCTGTCATGGGATCTGAAATTTTATCATTAATGCAACATTTCTTTAGGCTACATGTTGTCCTCTTCCAAAAAAGAAAACCCAAGGGAGAAAGCAAAAAAAACCAAACAAACAAACCCATATGTACATTTGTATTTATGTGTGTGTGTTTATATATATATATGTATATATATGTACACACACGAAAACATATATACTAGAAACACATACACCTCTATCTCTCTGTATCTGTCTCTGTCTCTCTCTCTCTCTGTGTATCTCTCTTTCTCTGTCTCCCTGTCTCTGTCTCTCTGTGCATGTGTTTCTCTCATCCACTGCCATTTGTCAGTGGGATCACTCTTTCTTGTGTTTCAACCCTTGGGTTTTAGCATTTCTCTCCCAGGCTCTCATTTAAAATGTCAGTCTCTCAGAAGGAAGAGCACATCCAGTTCTCAACCACTCAGTGGGGAGGAGTTTTCAGACACCTCCAACCTGCACAGGATAGACCCAGAGGCAATCTAAAGACCGCGGAGGTAAGGTGAAGGATGTCTATGGGTATAGAAATGGGGAGAAACATTGGGTGCAAACTCCAAAGATATTGTAGGCATGCATCTTGGGATCTAATCCCCCAAGGGATTTCATACCTCAAGGAGAGCACAGCCCAAATTTTCCCGCTTGCCCTAGGTACCTGGTCAGAAGGGTCACACCCTGTTTGAATGTATTCATCTTCGTGAAAAGGTCCCAGCCCTGTTGTAGCTTCATATAGGCAAATATCTCCCAGTTGTCAGTGGTCCAGAAGAGACCTTTCAGGGCCTCTAGGCATGTCCTGTGGAGCAGAGAAATCAAGGTAAGAGGGTTCAAGTTCAGCTCCCAATTCCTGACTCTGAAATGTGTTTATATGGATTTGTTCACTTGGGCTGCCCTCTACTAATCCCTAACAAGCCTATTTTATTACTGGAACTTTGGCAGATCAGAGACTTTCTCAGTGCAGGTATTCTCTCCACCATGGTAGGTAAATGGTGGCACTTAACTCCTCCTTGCTTTTTCATCCTGTGTAATTCTTGTCTATATTTTCCTATAAATCTTTGCAAAAATCCCACAGTTTCAAAGTTAGTAAGAACCTCTGAGTTTATCTATTTTTATTTCTTTTACAATATATCCAACATATGGTCATCTATCCTTTGTATGAACATTTTCAGTGAGAGATAATCCACAGCCTTCCAAGAGAGTGAATCTACCTGTTATTCAGGAAGTTGGCATTTTTTTGTTTTGTCTGTTTGTTTTTTTTTTACTTTGGTTCAATTTCTCACAGCAGTGAGAGGCTGAAGCACCGTGCAAATAATCAAATGTGACTCTTCAGGATGGCCTTGTCCTACTCAGCTCTGAGCCTTGCTCATTGGCATGTGTGTTTGTGTCTGTGTGTGTGTGTGTATGGATATACGGACATAATACATGTCAGGTAGCTCATGCAGCGGATAGAGTGCTAGACTTGCAATCTGGAAGACCTGAGTTCAAACGCCACCTCAGACATTTACTTTGTAGCCTTGGGCAAGTCACTTAACCTCCTTCCACCTCATTTTTCCCAGCTGTAAAATGGGGATAATAATAGCACTTACCTCACAGGCTTGCTTTAAGGAACAAATGTAATGTATAAATCATTTTGAAAACTTTAAAGCACTTTATAAATGCTATTATTATTATTATTGTCACTAGTACTATCATTATTGTATGGGGAAACTCAATAAGTTGTCCATACAAGTTCATTTAGTAATTTTGTAATTTAGGCAAGGTACACCTTTTCTTCAGCTTGATTTTTAAGTATGTACGATTAGACTGATCTCTTTTTTGTTTGTTTGGTTTTTTTTTTTTGTTTGTTTTTGTTTTTTGGCTAGACAACAGTTAAGTGACTTGCCCAGGGTCACACAGCTAGTAAGTGTTATGTGTCTGAGGCCGGATTTAAACTCAGGTCCTCCTGACTCCAGGGCTAAAGCTCTATCCATTGCGCCACCTAGCTGCCCGGACTGATCTCTTTTAAATTAATATAGATTTCACTGCAGAATCAGTATGATTATTCTAGGTCTTGGTGCAATGTCATCCATCCCTGAATTTGAATACCTTCCCCATAGCAAAGAAACCTTTTGTTTAGAATCTGCACAGGACATCCGTAATATTGGCACACAGTTTAGGGGAGGGCTTATCTCTGTTTGAAACATAGCTTGGTCTTAGCACTAATTGAACAAAACTATCTATTGGTTCCATCTTGGAACCAATTGTTTGGTTCAATTGTTTTTTGTCCTCTGTGCAAATTGTTGTGGGGACAACAACAAGGAAGGCTTGGCTTTGGTAAGGAGAAGTCCCATTTCTTCATCTTCATCTGAGACCAAGGTGAAGGAGGAGATAGTGTGAAAAGATGTCTGAATTGGAGAGTGTTCTGTGACTCCAGCATTCATATGGGAGAAAGCCTTCAGAGCAGCATTTTATTCCAAGGCAAATACTTCTGAAAAATTATTATAAAGGAAATGCTGACAAAGATGATAAATAATGGGAATGGTAAATGTTGTGGAAAGATAAGTACACTAATGTACTGGTGGAGGGGTTATGAGTTGGTTCAAGCATTCTGGAAAGCAATTTCAAATTATAAGAAGGTGACTAAAATGCCCATACCCTCTGACACACTGGTATATATATATATAGCCTAAGGAGGTCACTGACAGAAAGAAAAGTCCCACGTTTACCAAAATACTTATTTATAGAAGCCCTTTTTGTAGTAGCAAAAAAGTGGAAACTGAGCAAATGCCAATCAATTAAGGAACTGTGTACCACAATATGGCACATGAACATAATGGGATATTACTGTGCCGTAAGAAATGAACATGAAGGACATGAAACACGGGAAGGCTTACAGAAACGGACACAAAGTGAAGCAAATAAAAGCAGGAAGACAATATGAGCAGTGACTACAGCAAAACAGTTGGAATGAAAACAAACAAATCAATTGAAACTGAATGTTGTGAAATTACAATGACCAAGCTTTATCTCGAAGAACATAAGAGAAATGACTTCCCTTTCTTCTTTACAGAGGCATAGGACTATAAGTGGAGCAGCTGAATAAGTGGCACAGTGAATAGAGCACCAGGCCTGGAGTTAGGAAGACTCATCTTCCTGAGATCAAATCTGACCTCAGACACTTATTAGCTAGGTGACCCTGGGCAAGTCAATCAACTCTGTTTGCCTCAGTTTCCTCATCTGTAAAATGAGCTGGAGAAGGAAATGGCAAACCATTCTAGTATCTTTGCCAAGAAAACACCAAATGGGGTCACAAAGAGACAGATATGACTGAACAACAACAACAAAGTGGAGATGATGGGATCCAGTGAGAGTTTTTTAAGGATGAGGAAGATATGGGAATATTCAAGTATAAGATTCCACATTCCAAGGGATCCATGTAGCTTTGGTCACAAGCAAAACTAGGGATAATATGATCTAGTGAGGATTTTTTAAGAATGAGAAGATACAGGCGCATTTGTAAGTAGCAGGGAAGGTGTCATTAGATAGCAAGAGATTGAAGATTAGAGACAGTAGGAATTGTTGTGGGGACAATCTGCTGGGGAAGTTAGGAAGGATTGGCTTTGGTAAGGAGAAGTCCCATTTCTTCATCTTCATCTGAGACCAAGGTGAAGGAGGAGATAGTGTGAAAAGATGTCTGAATTTTGGGAGCTGAAGATGGGAAAAGATGAACTATTAGAGACAGACCTCAAATTTTTTGGTGAAGTATGAGGTAAAGTCCTTGACTAAAAGAGGGTGAAGGGGTTGTGGTGGTAGGCTTGAAGATAAGGTTTGGATAAAAAGGTTTGGAGCAGACACTGGGTTGGGGTGGGCTAGAGGTAAATCAATGAGAGAAGAAAAAAATACTCGCCTTGCAGCAGTGAGGGGTTGGTTGCGATAACTAACGTAAATTTGTAGTGGACTCAATCAGTATGTTTTTGTGATTTTCTTCAGTTTCATTCAGGAGGATGTGAATAAGGGCAAAGGAGGTAGGTGGTGTAGGGTAAATCATGGTTAGGGCTTAACAAAGTGAGATCAGTGATAGGACAAGTGGGTAAAGAATTCAGGAGTGGAGGATGGTTTAAAGTTGAGTTGGGTCACAAAGCGTTCAGGATAAGAAAGGGAAAAGAATGGAAGGTATGTGTCCTTCATCCCATCTGCCAGATGCTCTGCCTCTGCTGTCTACAGCTGCTGTCATTGCCACTTCTGTGTCCATCCTCCAGCTGTCTCAGCCCTTACAATTCTCCGGCCCCTAAATAGCCCCAAAGATTGTAGCAGCTGCATAGTCCCCTCACTTACTTCAGGAACCCTTGGCATTCACCTGGAGTCAGTCATTGCTTCTGACTACCATATTCAGGAAGTTTTCTTCTTGGAGTGGCATGTGCCTTTTTGTCTTCCCAGGATCCCTTATCCTTTCAGTCAGGGTTTTTTTTAATCTGTGCCTCTGGACCATAAAATACGGGGGAAATAAGTCTTTCTTACTGTTGCCAGCATCCAGTTGTGTCTTGTCTCTCTCCTCCACCCCTCACAAAAGAATGGGAAGAAGGAGGGAAGGTGAAAATAAAGACTTAGCTTTCGGCTGGCTCTTCAACATGCCTACTCTACTTCTCAATTTTTTTCCCTAAAAGATAAGACTACTTGTGATTTCTCTACACCTTCTGCTGTGATATTTTCCAAATGAGTTTGTACTTAAATGCACTTTGTCCTTGGCTGCCATGAGCTCTTGGCTTGGCATGGAAATCAGGTTTGGGGCTCAGCCAAATTGAATTCATATTAGCCCTAGGCAAACATAATTAGAAAGGCAAATCTATTGCATTTAAGAGAAAAACAATGATAGAAGGCATTGTAAAAGCAAGGAAATCCATACGACTCTAAAGTCCCTGTGCTGGAAGAGAGCTTGGAGGTACTTCAGGCCCATCCCTGCTTCCCAGAGTGCAGAGGGCTCAGGACAGATGGTCATCTGCAATGCATCATCGAGGAAGAGTTTGCAATCTTCCCATCATCCTGGTGCTTCCTCTGAAAGTGATGCAGCTTTTTTATGTTCTTCCTAATATCTGGTACTCAAAACTGGAGTAGAACGCTACTCCAAAATGGACAAAAACCACAAATATTCTGCTAGAAAATGTACTGAATCAATTGATTGTCAGCTCTGAGGGGTGGCCTGATGTGGTATAAAGATCTCCAAGTCAAAAGACCTGAGTTCGGATCCTGACTCTGCCATTTGGTGGCCTTGAGACCTTGGGTATCACTTCACCTCTCTAAGGCTAGGTTTCCTTATCTATAAAGAGATAGTAACAATAGCTTCTTTTCTTACCTCACAGTGCTATAGTGAAGAAAATGTTCTGTAATCACTATAGAAATGAGAGTTTCCTTACATCTACTCTAGTCTTGTTTTCCTGGCATCCATTGGCTCATCACTTAGAGTCAGGAAAATCTAGGTTCAAATTCTCCATCGGACACTAAGTGGATGACCCTGGGGAAATCATCTAATTCACCTGGGCCTCAGTTTACTCATTTGTAAAATGAGGAGGTTGGAGTCAATGCCCTCTAATATCCCTTCCAGTTCTAAATATGTGATTCGATGGTGTTCTTATCATAGTTGCTCAATTTTGTTCTCTCGCTCCTATGTATCTGACCAGCCCCATACTTTTCAGATCCCACTTTTGCTGTCTTTTGTTGCATAGCAGTTCAGCTCTTTGGTTTGAACCTCAGTCCTGACTCTACATTCTGGCTCTGACACCTGACTTTTTTTCCTGCTTCATGTTAATGTACATCTATTCCCTGTTTATCTTCAGCCTGACAGTTGGCTCTCACCTGGCCATCACTGCCTGGCTGGGTATGCCTTTTTTGGGGTAAAGCTATAACCAAAATGAACGACTATTGAGTCAGCCATATATCCTGATCATATGTATGAAGTAATTTCATTGTCAATCCCTCTACAGAGGAGACCCCAAGACAGGAAAATCTGTATTAAGTAACAAACACATGAATCATAGGGGCATATACCATTTTTGCTTGCTTGTAATATTTTATTAAACTAGGCCTCACTGCATAAGCACTCCCTTCTCTTTATAGAGATATGTATGTGAATGCATGCATTCGTTCAATTCATTCAATAAGCATTTATGAAGCCACCACTATGTGTCAGGCACTGAGCTAGGTCCTTGAGATCTAAAGATATAACAAGACAGCTCTTTTCCTCAAGGAGCTTACATTCTATTGAGGGGAAACAGTATGTACACAAAAAAATTAAATGCAAAATATATGCAAAGTAGATACTAAATAACTCCCAGGAAAGGGCATTAGTGACTAGAGGGTAGGGGGAAAATATCAGGATAGACTTCCTAGAAGAGGTGGCACTAAGATTGAGCTTTCCTATGAGCAAAGGGCCATTTGCAAGACTGTGGAAAACAGATGTCCCCACCGCATGATATGTGCTGTACAGGATAACTCTTAACACCAACCACAAGTCGGGCCAGCTGCTTTTTAATTTCCTCAACAAAGTATGATACTAAAGACCCTCAGGGTAAAGATCTAGAAGCAGACAAAAGAGTAGACTCTTTGTCTACTCACCAATTAAAATGCTGGAAAGTTCAAAGTGGAGATTGTGAAATGAGGAAGCAGCAATACCACCTACAGAAATGGCCCCCTAAAGAACAGAGGCACAAAGGCTGAGTCACCGTGGGGCCTATCTTCCACAAGCAGATGAGTATGCCCCCTGGAAAGAAATGCAAAAGCACGGATTGGGGGCCAGAGGCAGCTATGTCTCACCTAATTAATTGCTGCTGGCTCCCAAGAATGTAACCTTGATGGGTCGCCACATTAAAGTATGCCAAGGGTGAGTAACAGTCTATGTTTGACTGCTAGTTCTTTGCTGAAGGGGAGCACCATGCTTCTACTACCATACAAACCTCACAGACAAATCTGCTTAGTTTATTGAAAGCTGAGCATAGTGCTTTCTCCTGCAAGTAGTGACTCTTGTCATCCTAATGCAATGATATCCTTTATTACTTCTGTTTTTCATGTCTTTGGTTTGAGAATTTAAATTGTGACCTTCTCCAGTCTAGCCAGCGCCTTATCTTCTCTGGGCTCCTGGAGCATCTATGGACTGACTATAGAGAGTCATTTACAAAGTCTTTCTTCTGGAACTTATTTATAGCTTGAAATTAAAGACCACCTTCCCTTCCTTTAGCTCTGGGTAGACCTAGGTGGAGACCCTTGCATTCTAAGCTGCTTTTCCATAGGGGATGTTTGCTGGCTAGCAGGATTGCCTTCCTATGCAGTGGGGTCCCATCTAGAGGAGTATGACTAGGATAGGGGGAGAACTTGAAATCAGGCTTCACTGGGATTATTTGAGAGAAACTGAGGATGTTTAACCTGTAAAAGGGAAAATTTAGATAGTTGCTGCCTCCAAGTACTTAAAAGACTGTTAAAAGGCTAGAGGGAACCTATGTGGACTAAGATGGCAGAACTAGGAACAAACTGGAGAAGGTAAGAACAAGAAGGCGATTCCCTATGTGCATATTATCTGGTGTTTTTCTCCCACCCACCTTGTCCCTGCAGTGGGCCCAGCGTGGGGCCAATGGACAAAAGCAACCGGTTCCAGGTGCCTTGGCTGGTTAGAAAGACGATCACGCAACCTCCGAGAGACAAGTCAGGGTCAAAATTACAGAAAATGAAGAACAAAGACTTTGGTGGGAGAGTTGGCCTCTTCTATTACTACTGAACACCAGAACTTTCCCTCTGGCTCAGAAATAGGAAGAATCAGGTAGAGTGAAGCACCTGCAAAGGCTGGCAAGAAGCAATCTCCAGAAGCCTGAGGCTCTCACCTGAAAGGACTGAGACACTCCAACTTCAGGATGTCTTCAAAACGGTCCAGGGAGTTGTCAACCATGCCCAGTTCAAAGAGGTAGTGCAGCTGTGTCAATAGGCCCAAAAGAATCCTGGAAAAGGCCCAATGGACTGCTACCCGGAACTCCTGGATGTAGAGGAGTTCATACATTGTATTCAGTGCCTACAAAGGGAATTGGGGTGGGGGGATGAGAAAAAATATACAGCTTCAAGTTGTGCCACTTTTATCAGGGCACTCCCCTAATCAGAAGCCAACCATGGCTCACGATTGCCTCTCCAATCAAGTCCAGACTCTCAGTCTTTAGGTCCAAGGTCCTCTATCATCTAACCTGCCCATCTAGCTTTATTTCCCTATCACTGCCTCGGTAGGAGTTTAAGAAAAAGCACTGAAGATGAAAAAATTATAGCACGTATGGAGAGTGGTGATCAGTGCCATTGAACTGGAACATAGGGCATGTGAAGCACATTTGAAACACAATTGGAAAGACGAAGTGGCAATAGACTGTGGAAGGCCATGCATGTCAGGTTAAAGAGTTTGAACTTACTCATTAGACAATGGGGAGCTATTGAAGGGTCTGGGGCAGGGGTCTGGCATGACTAGATCTAGGCGTAAGGAAAGAAATCTGGAAGCTGCGTGAAGGGTGGTTTGGAAGAGAAACAGAGTGCACCGAGGAAGTCCTGTTAGGAAGCTTTTGCAATATTCAGGCAGGTAGTAATCAGGGCCAAAAACAGATGACTGACTGTGGGAATGGGGAAGAGCTGATGACTCAAGAGATGTTGCTAAGGATTAGGACCAAATGTGAGAAGTGAGGATGATGGAAAAGCAAAAACTGATTCCGAGGTTGCTAGCATAGCTGATGTTTACATGCTTTAAAAAAAAAAGATTTTCAAAGGGTTTTAACACGCTGTCTCATTTGATCTACACAACAGTCCCTTGGCCTAGTTACCACAAGTACTATCTCCATTTTACAGATGAAGAAACTAAGGCTCAGAGAGGTGAACTGATTGCAAGTGGGATATGAATCTAGGTCTTTCCTAACTCCAAAGCTAGCATTCTTTTTTTTTTTTTTAACCATACTATGAAAAACAAGTTGAATGACTGTGCCACAAACACGAATAGCAAAATGAGAAATAGGAGGCGGCTTGGGGTTGAGTTTAATGGTTCATAGAGACCCCCTACAAGCAGCTGGAGATGGGGCCACTGCAGTTTAGGAAAGAGATCAGGGTTAGAAATACAGGCAACAGTCATCTCTGTAGAGCTGGTAGTTGAAGTCAAGGGGGTGAAAGAGATGACCAATTTATAGACTAAAGAGAGACAGAACCTTGGGAATCATCCACCTTAATGAGTCACGCAGAGGACAAGGAGCCAGATCTGGTGTGAGACATAAGGGTGCTTAGAGAGCCAAAAGGATGTGGTATTTTAAACCAAAGAGAGAGAATATAGAGAAGGATAATGGGATCAAAAGTATCAAATGCTGGGGCAGCTAGGTGGCACAGTGGATAGAGCCCCAGCCCTGGAGTCGGGAGGACCTGAATTCAAATCCGGCCTCAGACACTTGACACTTACTAGCTGTGTGACCCTGGGCAAGCCACGTAACCCCATTCCCTAGCCAAAAAATAAAAGTATCAAATGCTGCAAATAGGTTGAAGAGGAAGCCATTGCTGTCGTCCTTTCAGCTATGTCCAACTCTTTGGGACCCTATTTGGGGTTTTCTTGGCAAAGATACTGGAGTGATTTGTCATTTCCTTCTTTTTACAGATGAAGAAACTGAGGCAAACAGGCTTAAGTGACTTGCCCTAGGTCACACAGCTACTAAGTGGCTGAATCCAGGTCTTCTTGACTTCAGGCCCAGCACTCTATCCACTGCACCACCTCACTGCCCTAAGAGGAAGAGGACTGAAAAATGAGCAAGCCATTGATTGAGAGGTCAAGTCAAATATTGCCTAAGAGAGATCAGGGTCAATAGAATTGTGGAGACAAAAATCAGGTTGCAAGAAGTTAAGGGAACATTGGGAAGTAAGAAAGTGGAAGCTTTAGGTATAGACAATTATTTTTTCAAGAAATTTGTCAGTGAAAGGGAAAGGGATCCTCAGTTGAATGAGTTAGAAAGGCTAAAGAGGTGATTTAAAAAATACTGGGGATCCTTGAGCATGCTTAAAGTCTGAAGGCAAGGAAGCAGTGGAGAGGGTGAGATTGAAGACACCTCAGAGAAATGAGCCGACTTTGGGATAAAATGTACTACAGAAGATAGGGAAGGATTAGGACAGGAGTGGGGAACCTTCTGCCTCGAGGCCACATGTGGCCCTCTAGGTCCTCAAGTGCATTCACATGGATTCAGTCTAGGTCCTCAAATGCATTCACATGGATTCAGTCTAGGTCCTCAAGTGTATCCACGTGGATTTAGTCAAAGGGCTGCACTTGAGGACCTAAAGGGCCACATGTGGCCTCGAGGTCATAGGTTCCCCACCCCTGGATTAGGGCTAAGGGATCAACTTTAACAAAAAGGTGTGTGGGGGGTATGTCTTCTTCTCTAGCCAGAAGGAAGGAGAGAGTGGTCACTGCTAACTGAACTTCTTTAAAAAGTAGTTATTATTCAGCTTTTGTCCTTGAAAAGACACTTTGGCTCTAAAGAACCAAGAAGGACCCAGGGTAGGGTCTGGAGGAGAGAAAACAGGATACTGGTTGCTTAAGGCCAAATCTAGGCTCAGGAAAATAAAAATCTCAGGATTCCTTCTGTCATGCTCCTCTGAACAGGAATGCAGGGAGAGATTCAGGGAAGATGCTATGTCCAGAAAAATATAATAAAATCTATTTTTCTGTAGTGTTTTGTAACTTACAATGTGTTTTTCTCACAATGATGTGTAGTAGGTAGGACAAGTATCATAATTCCTACTTTACAGAGGAAACTGAGGCTTAGAAAGCTATAGCAAGGAAGTTAGAGTGATGTAGCAGAAACAGCACTGGATATAAAGTCAGAGATGTGGGTTCAAATTCTGGATACACCACCTACTAGTTGAGTGACCTTGGACAAGTCAACTCTTATCCCTAAGCCTCAGCATCCTCAGCTGTGGGGAAAAAAAGGTATTAGACTAGATAACCTTTAAAATCTTTTCTAGCTCTAAATCTAGAATTCTATGATACCTATATGGCTCTCAGTCTCTCTATATGTAAAATGCAGGGAGTGAACTAAATGATCTCTAAGATCCCTTCTATGCTGTGGGACCTTAAATCTTATGATTACCTATGACTTGCCCAGTGTCACACAGCTTGTTAAGTTTATAAGCCAGCACTCAAAACCACATCCCACAGATTTAAGTTCAACACTGTCATTCATTTGATCAGAGCCCCCCTGCAGGCATATCTCTTGAGAATCTTGTGTCTAGAAACAGTAGGATGAGGAACCCCCAAAATGTGAAGAAGAGTTTCATGAATTAAGCCCTACAAGCTAGACGTTCTAATAGTGGAAGTTTAAGCAGTGTGATGAGGAGAGAGACAGAGAGACACAGAGAGAGAGAGAGACAGACAGACAGACAGACAGTGAGAGTCACTGTGTTATTTTTGACAAGTTATTTCCCCTGGTGATTTGCCCTTTCTGGATCTTAATTCCCTCCTTTGTAAAATAAAAGTCTCTTCCAACCCTAAAAGTCAATAACTCCGTTGCCCGCCCAAGGTAGAGGTTAAGATGCCTCCTCTTAAGAAGTGTTATGGGAAGCGTGCTCAGCATCACTGCTTACCTCTATGGACTCCAGTTCTGTCTTATCCATTATGTTTTTTGAAATCATGTCTTCTTCCGATGGCCGATTCTTCATTTTCAGGTACAGCATGGTCATGAGTCTCCTCGTCAGGTTTTTATCCATTGCCAGGATCTTCCACATCTCTGTGAGCTGCCTACAAAGTGGAGCCACATTACTTCACACTGTCTCCACTCCTCTTTTGCCCAAAGTTCAGGGGAGACTTCACTGGAGAAGTGTGGGAGGGAGAGAAAAAATGCTTCCGCAGAACTGGGAGGCAGTAACTTTCCATTTCCTCAGGAGGGGTGGGGGGATGGAATTTTATGTGGGCATACCTGGAGATTACTTTATGTGGGCATGACTGGAGATGGTTGTATTGAGTATTTGTCCTTCATGCAGATGTCAAAGCGATTTTCCTGAAGAGCAGACCCAATTACATTACCTTGCTATTCAACAAATTCCAGTGGATCCCTAGTACCTCCAGGATCAAGTGGAAAACCCTCTGTTTGGTCCTTAAAGCTCTTCGCCCACCTGGTCCCTTCCTAGTTAACAGTCTTTTTACACTCTACTGTCCACTCCATTCACTCTATGATCTGGCTCCACTGAATACTCTATCTCCCATATCTGTGCCTTTTCATTGGCTTTCCTCCATACTTAGGACACTTGCTTTCCTCATTTCTGCCTCTTAGTTCCCCTGGATTCCTTGAAAGGCTCAGCTCATGGGGCAGCTAGGTGGCTCGGTGGATAGAGCACCAACTGTGGAGTCAGGAGGACCTGAATTCAAATCTGGCCTCAGACACTTGACACTTACTAGCTGTGTGACCCAGGGCAAGTCACTTAACCCCATTGCCTAGTCAAAAGAGAAAAAAAAGAAAGAAAGAAAGGCTCAGTTCAAATCCTACCTTCTACAAGAGACCTTTCCCTTCAGTTGCTAAAACCTTCCCTTCTGAGATTACCTTGTATCTATTTCATAAATACCTTGCATATTATTTACTTGTCTCCTTCATTAGAATGTTTTTGCCTTCCTTTATATCCCCAGCACGTAGTGCAGTGTAGGACACATAGTAGCATTTAATAAAAGCTTGTTGACTGACAATATTGGATGTAAATAAATATTACTGTGCGTAGGCATGACCCAACGTTATCATATACTAATGTGACCACACAGTGTTATGAGTTGGTATGGCTAATTATTACTATAGATGGATGTGTTTATAATACATGTAATATTACTATATAAGGACATGGATATGTGTATGTATATACATACATATTTATTTATTATCATGTGTGAGTATTATTGCATATTTTGGGGTTTGGCTAGGTCTATACGTTATCATACTACATATTATTACAGGTATATATACTATGTATACTACATATTATTATAGGTTAGGTATGATAGCATATTACTATATGTAAGTAAGATGATATATTAGATGTAGGTGTGATGATATACTGCTATTTACAAATATAGTTCCTGGTCGGCCTAGAAAACTGATGTTGCCAGATTGACTGATAGAACCAGATTAAAGACTTCTTAGTAGGAAATAGCTGGGCTCAATTGCTAGATAATCCTGGGATATATACGTTTACTTTCATTTTATCATCTTTCCTCTGATGGCTTGCAAAGTCATCACAGATCACAGATTTAGAGAGATGGGACCATAGAGGTCGCTGAGTAAAATTCCTTCATGTAGAAATGGAAGCCCAGAGAGGTTAAATGATTTGCTCAAGGTCCCTCAGATAGTAATTAACAGAGACAGGATTTGAACTCAGTTCCTCGGACTCTAAATTCAGTGGTCTTGGGAAAAACCCATATCAGGATTTATAGTCTGTTGCAGTGGCAATTTGGGGAAAGTAACATGTCTGACACTCATTTTCTCCTCTGACAAATGAGGAGGATAGAACAGCTATCCTTTAAGGTGTCTGCCAGCACTGGTCTTCGTGTTCTATGTTGTAAGGTCACTTTCACCATCTATGAATCTATAAAAGAAGGGATTGCTCCCGGCAGGTTGACTAATCAGGCTAGTTGTAGCATGATAAGCAGGAACAAAGAGTTACTAAGAGTTTTGGGTGGTTGATCACTACTCAAGAAAGAGTGGAACAGAAAAGGACAACCCCTGGGATGGCTAAAAGAGCCTGCCTGCCTCTTTCCACTCCAGATACTCTAAGCACCAAACTCTTCTTGTTTCCCAAGTGATGGATGATTCTATATTAAAGATGGGACAGAGGGATGCCTAGGGAGGAGAAAGGATTTGCCCAAGATCACAGTGAGTGGAAGGAATGGGTGACTCTGAGAGCCTGGGGAGCCCCCTTTTCTAAAGGAATTCCAAAGGCAAAGGTTTATCCTGGCTCACCTCTTCAGTGATTCCTGAGACTAGAGACTTAGGGTTCTAAGATCCTACACGTTCGAGCAGGAAGGGACCTTAGAGATCATGTAGTCCAATCCCCAGATTTTACAGAAGAAGAAACAGAAGGCCAGAGGAGAAATGATTTGCCCAATGTCTGGTTCTGAAGACACAGGCAGAAGTTTCAGACAGCAGACTCAGTCCTCCCCATTCCCCCAGGGGCTTGGCAGTACCTGTTCACTGGTCGGGCGAAGGACAGGAGTACTTCAACCACTTTCTGAGTGTGTTGTTGTCCCAACTTTGGGATAGTTTTCAGAAGGGACAGCTGAACGTTTGGGAATGTGACTAAGGGGAACACCTTGTATATGCCCTGAAACACTTCTGCCACCTATAGGGAAGAAACACTCCAGGTAAGTTGCTACCACAATGACAACTCTTCAGATGATGATGACATTGATGGTCGTGATGGATGGTGAATGTTTATCACCTCATGGTTTACCAAATGTTTTCCAGCCAGGATTATTATTTCCCTGCTATTCAATAAATTCCAGTGGATTTCTAGTATTTATATTATTTATTATCCAATAATAATAATTATTATATATGAAGAAACTAAAGATTCAGAGGTGATGTGACTTGCCCATAGTCACACAGCTAGTAAAGTGTCAAAGCTAGAATTTGAATCCCCATCTTTCAAACACAGATCTAGTGAGATAACAGATGTAAAGCATTGTGTCTATCTTAAAGCACTATACAAATCCTAGATATTCTAGGTAGCATGATGCCTGGACTATAATAAGTATTTGATAAATATGTGCTGATCTATAGGTAGGGATGGCTCCAGTGAGCAGGCAAAGATGTGCTTAATCAAATGAATTTTCTTTGTTTTTTTTTTCTTTATTTTACTCTGCTCTAAACCCTTACTTCAGATGTTCTTGGTTTTCTGTTTCTCTGATAGAATGCTTTCAACTGTTAATAATTCTGATTTTATCTCCCTCCTGGGGATCCAGGTGCTCTCTGCCCTTCTAACCTGTCTCTAAAGACATTTACTTTACTCCTAGGGCTTCTGACTAGCCTCCTAGATTATGCCTTGAACATACCACCTGGTTCCTGCTCCTGAATTTTCACAGTCTTCTGATCCCTGACCAGGAAGGACAAGGCTTCTCTTCTCCCCCACAGAGCCCAAAGTCCCATCACTGTTGGAGAAGACAGCCAGCCTCTCCATATCTATGATGATATGTGGTCATAGGATCATAAACTCTTTGAGCTGTAAGGTGGCCTGCACTCTGTGGATTCCACAAAGGTTAATGAAGGTGGCTATGACAAAGGGAGCTCACCAAACAGTGGGGTTTTGGCTAAATCAAAAGAGGAGAGCCATCCACCCTCTAACATCAAGGTGCATTGAGTGCCTTGAGTGTAACAAAATGAACTTGGGTACTTTGTCTAACTCTAAAGCTTATCTATCTTCTGAAACTGAAATCTTGAAGCCTAAAACCCAGATCTTGTCTCTTCTTATCTTTTTTTGCAGAATGTGTTGTGAATTTTTGGTGTGGATCCTGATTCTTCCTCTAACAATGACTTCTGCTTCTGATTCTTTCCAGGCTACTTGTTATCTTCCCACTATTGGCTTATTGACCACTGGGCATGTCCAGTTCCTAAAAACTCCCATTACTGTAGAATCACAACTTATAAGTTATTCTGGTTAATAATAATTTATGTTTACATTAGATTTTTTTGGTTTACAAAAGCCCTTTATAATCATTAACTCACTTGATCTTTTAAGCAATCCTGTGAGATAGGCATTATAAACATTATTCTCCCATTTTATAGATGAAGAAACTAAGGTGCAGAGAAATTAAGTGATTTGCCTCAAATCATAAATCTAGAAAGTGGTTGGACAGAGAACGAAACTATTGTACTTACTTAAAATCTAAGGATATTTCCATTATATCACCCTGTCTTTCTGGATGAAAATATTTGCTTGTGGGCAAATCACTTAAGCCTTTTATATGCTTCTATTTCTTCATCTATAAAATGGGGCTAATGATACTTGGACAATTTATACAGAGTTTTGAGAAAAGTACTTTATAAACCCTACAGCACAACAAAAATGGCAGATGTTGCTGCTGATAATATTTATGTAGTACCTTAAGGTTTGCAAAGTACTTTATAAATATCTCAATTTATCCTCACAACAACCCTGTGAGACAGTGCTATTTTAATCCCCATTTCACAGTTGAAGAAACTGAGGCAGACAGAGATTAAGCAATTTGCCCAGGGTCACATAGTTAGTAGGTGTCTAAGGCAAGATTTGAATTCAGTCTTCCTGAATGCAAGTCCAGAACTCAATTCAGAGCACCACTTGGTTGCCATGACACAATTATCATCATCATTACTAACACCGCCATTACTATCACCACCACCACTGCCATCATCATCATCATCATCATCATCATCATCATCATCATCAGTCATCTCTGTATCCTGCATGTTCCTTTCAACTCCAACCAGCAGTTTGACACAGCAGTTTTCCATGGAATTATTCATAAGAGCTACCAAAAATGACAGAAAACTGAAGACCAAGGATTCCATTTCCAGCAAGCATGGAGGGCAAGGTGCATGATGTTTATCTGGCAGACCACCCTCCTAGAAAAAAAGGTAGAGGAATTTGAGAAACATTTCTCCATTTTCCAGAACGGAAGTGTCAGATACAAGGCCTGTAACCTACCTGAGTGCTGCCAGAACCAGATTAAAATGTAATTGGGATGAAAATACAATAAAATATAGATAACATTACATTTTAAAACTAAGTCAATATGCTGCCCACAGGGATCCTTATTATGGATTAGGGGCCTCCTTTATTATTTAAGTTTTGACACCACTGCTCTAGGACATTGAAGGAGAATGAAATATTCCTTTAAATAGTGGGAGAAGGACCAGAGGACAAAAAGATTGCTCCAGATGTCTTTACAGGAGCATTGCACCAAAGCTTTCAAGAATTAATATTTATGGCTCACAAATTAGTCTCAAAAAATGGAAAACAAAACTACGAACTCCTTTTATGAGAAAAGCATAGTCCTAATACCTAAATCAGGGAAGAATAAAGCAAAGAATTATAACTATGAACCAATACTATTAATAAATATTGATTTAAAATAAAATTTAAATAAGAGACTTCAGTAAATATATATACATGGTATACACTATAAGCATATTCTATATTATTATATGCATATGTTGCATACATATAATAGATATGTTATAAACATATAATATCAATATTACATTAGATTGTATTAAATTTTATATTAATATTATATAAAGTATATATAAATATTATTAATTGATAAAATTATGTGCATATAATTATAATATATTCACTATACATCTAATTATATTATATGTATATGATATACATTCACTATGATCAAGATGGAATCATACCAGTGATATAAGGATTATTCAGCAGCAGGAAAACAATAAATATAGCTTATAAAATTGAAAATTAAAACCTCATAATTTTATCAATAGACGCATAAAAAACCTCTGACAAAGTACAACAGAACACAGACCTAGAAAGACATTTCTATATGATGAAAATTATATAACTAAAACCCAAAGTTAGCAGTATTTACAATCACAGTCCCTGCACAGGCACAACACAGTCCCTTGCCTCCAAATGATATATTTCTTTACTCATACTTCAATGGAAATTTTCTTCACGTACAGCTTTTTATCAGTTTCTCATGCACAAAAATTTTTTTTTCCTCCTGCCCCTTTCAACAATCATATTATGCACGTAGAAAAGGGTATCTTATATCATTCACAAGATGAATCCATCACTTTTCTTTAATAAAAGTTCATTTTCTGCCCCTTTCAACAACCAAACCATTCACATAGAAAAGGAAAAGTAACTCACAAAATTAAGAAACACTAGAAGTTTCTGCCAGTAAATAAAGGAGAAAATTAAGAATGTCTCTTTTTCCCACTGTTACTTAAGATTGTTTTAGATATGCTACAAATAGCCATAAGCCAAAAGAAAGAAAGGCATAAAGACAGACAAAAAGAAACAGCCCAAACCTATTTGCGGATGACATGGTAATTTACGCAGAAAATCCTAGAATCAGTCAAGAAGCTAATTGGGACAATAGCTTCAGCAAAGTAGCAGGATAAAAAAAACCAAATAAACCAATAAAAATTAACAGTATTTCTATATAACAATAACCAAATCCAGTAGAAAGGACTAGAAAGGGAAATCCCCTACAAAATCATATGAAATACCTAAAATAGAATGCTGGACTTGAAGTCAGGATGACCTGAGTTCAAATTAAGCCTCAGACATTTTCTACCTGTGTAACTTTGAGTAAGTCAAGTAATCTCTGTATGCTTCAGTTTCTCCATCTGTAAATTGGGAGTTATAATAGCACCTATCTCTCAGGGTTGTTGTGAGGATAAAATAATGCTTTTAAATTGCTTTGCAAACCTTAAAGCTTTTTATAAATCCAAGCTATCATTATTATTACTATTATTATTAGCAGAGCTTCCAGGAACGAGGAAGTGATAATCTTGTGGTATTCTACATATATTTGATTTAATTTGTATAATCTTCCTCCATACTATCTTAATGCAATGCTTCCTCATGGTATTGAGGTTATCCAGGATTCCTGAAACATATTATTGTAGAGTACAAGCTGTGGTAAATTTGGCCATACATTGCTCCAGATATGGACCCAATAACAGAATGTTTGTTTTCCAAAGATCCATCTAGCTAAGTATAAAAAAATACAATACCAGCAGATGAGTCACCAGATGATAAACTATTTGGTCAAAGAAACCCATGAAATAAACAGACTCTAGTGGAAGCCTCAATTTACTCTTTCAGATCTAGAAAAATCTAACCATAAAAGAAATAAAGAAATTAAGGAGATGAATGAAATTTTAGAAAATGTAGATATGATATACTCCTGGATAATATTGAATGGTAATAGAAAGAAGCGTATCTATTTTCAGCTATGCATGGCACCTTCACAAAAAAATTGATCATGCATTAGGGCAGAAAAACTTCACAAACAAATTCAGAAAAACAAATATTAAATACATCTTTTTTTCTGATCATGAAGCAATAAAAATTACATTCACTAAAGGGCCTTTAAAACATACCAAAATTAATTAGAAGCTAAAGAACCAAATCCCAAAGAATGAGCAAGTCAAAGAACAAATCATAGAAACAATAATTAATTTCATTAAAGATAATGAAAACATTGAGACAATATATCAGACTATTTGGGAGGCAGCCAAAGAAATATTTAGGGGGAAATTTATATCCTAAACACTTATGTCAATAAAAAGAGAGAGAGAACAGATCAATTATTGGGCATGCAATAACAA